GCGCTGCGAAATTGAAACTAATTTGTTGCTCAATATATAAGGGTAGTTAACACATCATCCACCCTCCCCTCTATCTCTCCTTGACCACACGGCAGCAATAAAATATTCAGTATTTGAACTTTCCCATACCCCAAGAAATGGCTATTAATGCCATATATTTTTTTCTTCCTCGTGTTATCCATCCAGGCTCATTGTTATTCTGAGAACGAAACTTTGTAACGGCCAGTCTTTCCTTCTGGCCTGGTAATTGATTTTATTACGGCCACAATCATAGGACACAGTTGAAATGAAACCCACGGCCAGCATCATTCGAGAGTGCTAGTCATTTCTGGCTGGCACGGTGCCCCGGCTAATCTGGAATTTATGTTGCGGAAAATTAAATTTCCTTAATGACGGATTTTTTTTTATTTATTTTTTTTGTTTGCCCTTTGGTGATAGATATTTTGCCATTTAAGAGAATTTAATTTTTAAAGGCAAAAATCTAAGGGACATTTTCGTATTCCGAATTGATAGAAATCCTTTTTGAATATACTCCAGACAAAGAAGACCTGAAGATCGTTTTCAATCTAGAAAGGACCTGCTACAAATACTATGATCGAAGTAAGATCGCTGTTTATAAACTCTGCTAAGTGGAAATGTTCGAAAATAACATTTTGGCGGTATTCCCTATCCCCTTAATTTAAAAATATGTTTTAAAAGATACACTTTGATGATTTGCTCATTTGAACTCGGGAGCGAAAATGTTCGAGTGGTAGTTTTTTTACGGGGTCTACTCTTTACTATTTTGTTTTGGGTAGGAGTACTCACGAGTCACTCCTGTTCGAAAAATTTGAGTGGGAGCAGAGTCTCTTAAAATAACGCAAGATTTTGCTCTAAGAGTGAAAATGGGTGGAAGAAAATATGTTGTTTTCACACAAATATAGAATTACAACAACGGTATAACAAAAACTACAAGAGTAAAATCTGCTCGATTTAAAAAAAAATTGCACCCACTCAAAAGCGATGAAAATATGCTCTCATATTCGAGCGACATTGAAAAATTGAGTTCGCTCGAATTTTGTATGCATCCAGGATCGCATTTGGTCGAATTCGAGCAAATTTCACTCTTTGAACAAATTCGAGCGAATTTGAACGATTGGGGATTCCTGATTCTAGGTAAAGCACAGGTTTAGAATATATTCTGGAGGAAAAATAGTCTTTAAAGGACTTAAAAAGTAAGGATCTTTTAATGGATTTTATAGAGATATTGCCATCATCTGAACACTTTTCATTTTCTGTCCAAAGGAGCTTGACAGGACCTTCTGTTTGTGGATGTCCAATGGACTACCCTTTGAGGGACATCCAACTACACTGAACCTTCGAAAGTAGCCTAGTTCTTCAGAAAACTTCCAGTCATCAAAAATCATCTTTAGGTAGTATTCTATAAACCAAGGAACATTGATGGACCTTATATCTTTGGTCCGGTCTCTACCATCTTTATAACATATCTTGTGTTGATATTGATATTGAAATATTGAGATGTACCAAAACTGAATGGAATCGGAAGTTAATTTCGCGTTTTATGAGCTTCATGGATATTCAAAATTTTGACCCTTTGTGGAGGAGGTACCAAAATGAGTAAACCTAAATATATAACATCTTCACACCAGACCTTGGGTTAATAAAAATTGTATGATGTGTGTAATTTGAAGACAATCAAATTCTTCCATCACATTTTATAATTACTCCAAATTTTCGGCACTTTGTGGGGAGGTACTCGATGGAGTGGAGAGATATTGTCCATTTTCGCGCACCTGACCTAGCACTAATACAAATAGTAGGATTTGCAATGTTGGAGCAAAATCGAATTATAATTTCTCACTCTGTGCTGTAAAATATTTCGACCTTTTGGTGGGGAGGTACCAGAGAAGTGGACCGATATTGCCCATCACCGTACTCGATCTATGTATTATATAAATATAACCATGCACCAAGTTTGAATTGAAAATCGGATACTCCCTTCGAGAGCTATCGTGCGCACCAGCCAGAAAGGCAGACGGACGGACGAATATCGCTAGATCAATTCCAAATGTCCTGAAACGGATTTGGTCCAAAGAGACCTAGGGGCTAAAACCATTATTTCGATGAGGCACGATTTGGCCATATCTAGCCATATGGCTGAGGGTATAATTAACGAGTGATTGTTGACGTACTCAACATATAGATGGCAGCTACTTAGACGGGAGAAAACCTCAAAAACTAATTTCGTTTTCGATTTTAATATATAAATATCGAGAAATCCTTTTTTCACATTGCGGACTGCCATTTATATTACCTGTAGCAAGCCTTTACAAAATACATTTATTGTTGATATTTTGCTCTTGATTTTCACCCACATGTAGATGACAGCACTTTGTTAAAGCAGTTTATTATATGTTTCTTATGCGGTATCTCAAAATCCACGAAGAATAAATATTTCGTTGCCGCTTTTTTATGCGATTTAAGTTAAATTATACCTTACTGTATTTAAAATAAGTGCTTTTTGCGTGATTCAAGTCCCATATCTACACGAAAATGGCACTTCGACGGACCCATGACTCTTTGGGCCCATTCCAATCGACGAGGCTTGTCTGCAGGCAACATTCTTTGCGTCAATTGAATTTTGTACGGGGACAAATGAAAATCAATGCGAATAATCCGTTGTAAAGTGGACCGAGCCATGCCTAACTGCTGAGAACGGCGTTTTTGGGATGTTCTTGGGGACCTCTCAACACTGGTTCGTACGGCAGCGATATTTTCGGCCGATCGCCTTGGTCGACTTTTATATGGCCTCTTCGGATTAGAAAGAGCCTTACCAGTCGAGAATTTTTCGTACAAACGCTTAATGGTGTTCTTAGAAGGCTCACTTCTCACATTTTTTAATGTTTTAAAAGGACGCTGAGTTTTCACAATTGACTTCTTCTGTTGAATGTAAATTTCAGAGCGCTCGCGTGGCGTGTATTGGTTCATGGTAAAAATCTGCTTGGACTGACGCTTCAAACGCGATATGTCATTAAGCGATGTGACATCTCTGTCAAAAGTTATGGCGATGCCAGATGGGTCCGTCGAATATGGACAACCCTGTACATGTAGATGGCAGCAGTCGGTTAAAGTGGTTTTTGTTTAATTTTGCTCGAATATATTGGAAAAAAATTCATTTTCGGCATTAAGCTCAAAAGGTATAACACGACCTTTCTTAAATATGAGTTAAAATAAGCCTTCACAAAATTTGCTTAATAAAAACGTTTTTTGTTGTGCTTCTCGTCCACATGTAGATGGCAGCACGTTGTTAACTAAATTCTATGCAGTTTTGACTTGTATTCTTGTAATTTTTCGTTCAGTGTATTTCAAAAACCTCGCAGAATAAAGATTTCGTTATCGATTTTTATCTGATATGGGTCTGAAAAATATAACATTTATATATCACACATAAAAATCTCTTAACAGTATTTTCGTCCACAAGTAGATGGCGCCATATTGAGAACTGAGTTCATTAAATATTTCTCTTATTTCGCTTGGTATTTCTCAAATCCTCATAGAAGAAAATGTCTATTGGGTTTCAAAGTAATTTAAATTCCAAAATATATTCAATCTAATATTACATATAAAAAACTTATTAACAGTCTTCTCATTCACATGTAGATGGCAGCACATTACTGACTAAGTTTTTTGTATATTTTTCTATTTCGAATTCCCCTTAATTTAAGATGTTTTTTTTTTATCGGTTTTTAATGTGATTATATAATCAAAATGTTGTAATTTCATTGATAAAATTTTCATAGAAAAATAAAATATAATTACCTACCTTTCATTCAAATTCACTCTAAAAATCAAAAAAAAAAAAATTAATTGAAAAATATTTACAACACATACAAGACGAATTTGTGTAAAAATATATCTCATGGCCAAGCACCTCATGCCTAATTCTCTGTGATAATATATAATTATATTGATGAAAATATAAAAGAAGACCATAAAAAATAATACGGTTGTAAAGTCAAAGACAAAGGAATAAACCAATTATCCAGCCAATTTTCAAACCAATCAAAAAAATCAATTCATAGACAGGGACAAAAATCAAAAAAATTAAAAATTTATAAAAAACGTTTTACGTTTTATAAAAAAAATCACTCAAATTTGTCTTCACTTTGGGGTAAGTAAAGAAAATATAAAAAATGACAGATTAGACCCAAACAGACACATATGTTACAGAAAAGAACGATTGGGCCAATTGTAGTTAAAAAAATAAAAAATATTTTTTATTTATGTATGTAACATGAACAATGCGAATAATTTTTTTTTTTTTTTTTTTTTTTTTTTTTGAAGAATTACCATGCATTGAACCAATCAGAAAAAAGTAAATTAAAAATCGATTGGATGTATATTTTTCAAATTGCCAACCAATTGAGAATTATATCCACATGTTTTGTAGGACAATGCAGTAATATGACAAACGAATGTAAATAATACAAATTATCAATGATAACACGAGCGAGAGAGAGAACAGGAATTACAACAACAACAATTTTGAACAAATGAGCATGAGTTGTAATTCCAATAAAACAGACAAAGTTAGAGAGAGAAAGACATTAAGAGTATAATAAATAAAATAACGAGCAATTATCATAACGAGAGAGAGTTAGACATTTCTCTCTTTATATTTTGATATACTCTCTTATGTTTTTAGACAAACCACAGACACATATATAAAAACAATATAAGTAAGTAGTAGTAGTAAAAAATATAACAAACGAATGCTATGTGTTGGATGCTAGATACATATTAACGATGAGCGAGCGAAGTAGACGAGAGAGAGAGAGGGAGACTCTCTCTCTTCTTTTTTTTTTGTACAATACACAGTAGTCCTGTTTCGGATCGTCTTTTTTTAGATGTGATGAGAGAGAGAGAGAGGTGGTGGTGTTGTTGGTGGTGGTTAACATTCATTCAACAGCTGCCTCATTTAGGTTTGTGTTTTTACTGACCTGTTTGGATTCACGGCCAAGCCGCCGGATGTGGGCGATGTGGCATAGACCAGGGACCCTGGGGCACTCTCAATCGATACTGTTGATAGTCGGTGGGCTGGCTGTATGGGTGTGGTGAATTGACTTATGGGTTGGGAGAATTTCCTCATTTGTGGTATGTTTTGTTGTTGTTGCTGCTGCTGCTGGGGTATGGCCAAACGATTGACGGCCGTACCAAACGAAGGATCGTAGCTAAAGGATATTTTCTTGGGTGGCAACGATTGCTGGGAGCCACCATTGTTTGATTGGTTTTCCGGTGAACCACTGTAGAAGGGGGAGTAGCCAAAGGCTCCCGGCACTGGACTGGCACTGTAGGCCATGTGACTTGTGGGCGAGTGGGCCCTAGGGCTGCGATGACCACCACTAACCGTTCCCCCACCGCCGCTGGCTGCTGCTCCACCCGCGCCGCCACCACTAACGGCCAAGCGGGTCGGTGATTGTCCTGGACTTATGGGTATGGGCAGGGAAGTTGCCTGCTGCATTGTGGCATAGAGCAAAGGCGAAAATTGATCTGAGGCCTCATCAATGTCTTCCTCATTCTCCTCTTGATCCTGCTGCTGTTCCACCACCATTTCCTCTTCCGCCCCACCATATTGACTGGTTGTAATACTAACCCCTGGACTCAATACTGTATTGCAAAATTCCACCGGAAGTTTATAGCGCTCATCACCCATGGCAAGATTTGTGTAAATTTGGCTGTCGGAGGAGACCACCTGATTATTGCCTCCCTCCAGATTTGTAGCCTTCCATATGCTCTCATCCACACAGAAGGAAGAACGTCCCGACGAGGTTTTGTTATAGAAATATACATTTGTTGGCTGGGCCAAATCCGCCGTTGTTGCACCAGCATTTGTGGAGGGCGCCAAGTGATAGGGAGAGGCGAACTCACTGCCTCCACTTTGGGTAACCTGAGTTTGCACGGCAGCCGCCAAGGTGGCTGACGCTGAGGTGGCAAGCATTTGATGAACTACATTGGCGGCTATGTGCGGGGTGCTAAAGGCCCGTTTGCGATTATTACCGGCATTGCCGGTGATCATGGCCTGGGTGAGACTGGATACGGTTCTACTTATGTGGCGCATTTTAGCAATAATATGATGGTGTTGGTGGTGGAGTATAGGAGGCGCATAGTGATTTATAAAAGCATGGTGACAGTGGTTCAAATAATTTCAAAGGTGGGTGGTTGGTGGTAGTGGTTTTGGCGATAGTTTGGCGATAGCAAAAAATTTACAATAATGGATCGATCGATGTGAAGAAAAAGTAGTCGGTGGGTGGTTGTGGAAGAGCAATAATTTCATTTTCATCATAGCCAGCAGAGAGATAGACAGTAGATGATGGTTGGCATTTACATTTGATTTTGAATCGATTATTTTTTGGCATTTTTTGGTTTTTTTGGTCGAGTAGTTTTGTCAAAATTCAAAATGTAAACCCCGTGGGAATATAGCAGATTTTGTTGATAGAGGTTTGTTTTTTTTTAAGTGTGTGTGAGTTTTTTTTTTCGTATAAAATTTGTTTTTTTGTTTGGGCAAAAAAATTCCATTTATTTTTAAAAAAAAGAAGAGAAGAAAAAAGAAAAAACAAAATGTTACCAATAGTTGTTTGTTTTGAAATGCGCCAAAAAAATTAAAACTTATAACGAAAAACAAATAATACAACTTAAGACTACACTTATATAGTCGAGTGAGATATATATTTGGTTGCAATATTAATGGTGGGGGAGACAGAGAGAAAATGGTAATTCATGCTGGAATTTTTTTTCGACTTTTTTTTCAAACCAATCTCTGTGCAAATATTTTACAAAATAAAAATATTTTTTTTAATTTCCGATTATTGAAATATTTTAGAGAATTTTTACAACCAATTTTCAAAGAGTTATTGGTATGGTATTGGAAATGAAATACTCTTTTCATGGAGTAATTTGAATACGGATTCTTTTTTTCCAATATAGGTTTGGATATAAATTTGTATTTAATTATTTTTTTTTTTTATTTTCCAATTTTCAATCCATTTTGTATTCAATATTGAAGTAACAAATTTTGTTATGATTATTTTATTGTAGATATTCTGTGCGATAATATATGTATGCATACAATGATGTGGGTGCATGCCGAAGTGGAACTGAGGCTAGGTTAAGATGTTCCCAATATCATATGGAAATTAGTGTCATGTGAAGTGCTCAAGGTACCCACCATAGTATGGAGGGTATATTAAGTTATTAAGATCATTCCATTTGTAACACCTCGAAATATAAATTTTAGTCCGAGCTTTTAAAAAAATTCCTGTGACGGCTCACGCATAAAATGGCTCGTGAGCTAAACATATCGCAATATTCCATTCGGCAAATATTGAAAAACGAGCTCGGGGTAAAGCCATCGGAATTCTAAAAACTGCGAAAATATTCGGGAATTTGTCTAGCTAAGAAATGAACCAATTTAACTCATGATTAGAAAGAGTTAGTAGAGAGAAAGGGAGAGAGATCGAATGGGAAGTAAGTAAATTTTAGAATTAGTCTATCCCAAAAAGGTGCAAAAAATATAAATTGATATGAAAATCAAATTTTACGAAGGTCCAAGAATACATTTCGAATATATACACACTTAGTTAAAAGGCTTCGAACTTTAAAAAGTTTGGATATTTTTAATTTTGTGAAAAATAAAAATTAAGCTTGGTTGAAACCTGGCTCGACTTCAATTTTTCTAAAAAATCGGTCAATACAGACATGGTTATTAAAAAAAAATTACCATATCTTGAACCATATGTGGGGGAGGTAAAAGAAGAAATGTGTCCGATCTCTATCATCTTCATAACAGATCTTGTGTTGATGGAAATATTAAGGAGTACCAAATCTCAAAGGAATCGGATTTATATATTTCGCATTTTATGAGTTTCATGGATATTCAAAATTTTAACCCCTTGCGGAAGAGGTACCAGAAGGAGCAGACCGATACATCCCATCTTCACAGCAGATCTTGTGTTAATAGAAATAATGGGATATGCGAAATAGGAAGAGAACCGGATGGTTATTTAGGATGTTATGATAATTTTGGTTATTCAAAACTTTGACCCGTTGTGGAGGAGGTACCAGAAAGAATTGTCCGATCTCTACCATCTTCATAACAAATCTTGGGTTGATGGAAATATTGAAATGTTCCAAGTCTGAATGGAATCGTATGCTAATTTCGTGTTTTATGACCCTCAAGAATATTCAACATTTTGACCCTTTGTGGGGGTGGTACCAGAAGGAGTGGACCAATATATTCCATTTTCACACCACACCTTGGGTCAATAAAAATATTGTGATGTATATAATTTGAAGACAATCGGACTCTTGCATCACGTTTTATGAGAGTAATAATTATTTCAAATTTTGACCGTTTGTGGGGAAGCTACTAGAAGGAGTAGTCCGATCTTGTTCATTCTCGCACCCGATCTTGAAGTAATGCGAAAATCACGATCTGCAAAGTTTAAACAAAATCAGAAAATCATTGTATGAAAATGTTGACCTTTTCTGGGGGAGGTACCAGAAGGAGTGGACCGATAATGCCGATCTCCGGATTCGATCGAAGTTTGACAATCATATTACGATGTACCAAGTTTGGATGAAATCGGATACACTCTTCGAGAGATATCGTGCGCACCCGCCAGCCAGACAGACAGAATATCAGCAATGTTAGGCATACATTGGAAATTTCAAATTTAAAATTTCGGACAATTCCGTTGAAAAATTGAGGAAAGTCATTAGAATACCGAATATGGGGTGATACCGATATATGGAGATATATTTATTTATTTATTTATTTTTTTTTTTTTGTAAGGTGGAAGGAGGAACACATAAAAATCTTTAAATACCAAGTTGAAGACAAATATATTGAAAAATATGCAGATAATCATTGAAATTCTTTAAATAAGGGGGTACCATTACAAGAGGACTATACGAAAAATTTGGCTGATATAACCCATCTTCGAATTTGATATAAGTTTAAGTTCAGACCCAAAGCGCATGTGTACCAAATATCTCAATTCCTTTTTTGTTGAATGTAAAATGATTATTTTGATGAGTTGCAAACGGAATGAAAAACTTAATCTACCCTCCATATGATGGAGGGCATAAGAAGTACTCCTCGAGATCTTTTATTTTACCCGGAAATCAGGGTGCTTCTTTTTTATTTTTTGAAGAGTGGAGGTCCATTTATTTGTCATTTCTTTAGGGTAAGCCGATAAAATTTTCAAAAAATACTCTTCGATACCTTTCATGTAAACCCGCTCTAAACCCCGCATTATTTCCTTCCGGCTTCCACTGACTCACCCTTTGTGAACTTGATAAAATATCAGTGCTTTGTATCTTCACTATACACATTTTAAGTTTATCTCCAAGGTTTTAAATTTTGTGGAGACTTTACCGAAACAAGCCCATTTCAAGTTCAATCTTCTTCGAAATTTGATAGACACATTTATATAAAGGTGTTCGAAATTCGCACCAAAATGTACAGCTAACAATACTATCAATATTACATTTACTTCGTGAATATCGACGAATGGGACTATTAATAACACTGTGCAACACAACTGAAAATAGAAGACACGTTTTGAAAGTTTGAAAGCAAGTTCCCTTCTTTCTTGGATCAAAATTTTAGGTACATAGTGCCTTCGACAATATTACAGAGTAAGATATGAGGAATATTTTGACTGAAAACATTAACCAATGGGGTTTTTTTGGTTATTTTTTTAACGTGATCGTAGTAAACTATAGATTAAAGAAGACCTCAAAAGTTTAAATCTTACCTAAACGTTATGAATTTATATATATTAAATACACATTTTAGGGTTAAAGCCTTACTTTGTAGGAATTGGTTCAAAATTATCCAAGGATAACGTCAAAAAGAAAAAAATACTTTTCATCACATATTAAAGTGAAAGTTACTAAATAAATCTATCTATATTTTTATTGTTAATAAAAAAAAAACTAAGATAACTAATTAGGAGTTACCTTTTACTGGAAATTTACACCGAAACTTTCCTTCATTTTCTCAACTCATGTCCTCATTATTTCCCTCCAAATGTCTAACCTTTCAAATTCCCACATAATTTGCAAAAAGACCTTGAAATTATTCATTTTTATTTACTGCCTATGACCTCAATCATTAGTTGGAATTAAATATTGCGTGCACTTGTAAAGCACGCCACAAATATTTGCAAAATTCACTTTTCCTCCGGGCGTATGATGACGCCCAAATGACAATGGGAAACCACAAAAAGGGCAATGCGAATAAAATATTTAAAACGAATTACCTCATTAGACGTCGCGAGACCACCAAGAATGCAATAGTCATCATCATCATCGTCGTCATTTTTATAAATATTATTATGGTGATAAACATTTACAAAAGGATATAAATCCTGTGTTGCAGAAACGCAATAAAAAGCGGCTAGACATAGTTGTAAGGTTAGGGAAAGAAAATTAACATCTAAGAAGGATGGAATCATCGTATATAACAAATTTAAGAAATATTTGCATATAGAAATAATAGAAGTGTTTCTACAATAGGAAAAAAAAATCAGGATGAATTCTACAGAAGATGGTGGCGATGGCAAGAATAGGGAGGGGGTTTTATTTGATTTTTTAATTATTAATTTATATAAAACATGTTGTAGCAGATAAGTAATATACATTTTTTGACTACGACTATTATAAAGTAATATTTTGAAATTTTTGATGCATACTTTTAGGGGTGAGAATTTAAACAGGAACATATGATCGAATGATTTGTGGTTTTGAAAGTTCCCAAACATAAAATGTTTTCCATTTTTTTCCAGAGAATTTTTAATTTTTGAAGTTATAATTCCAGGATATTATTAAAATTAGGAAATATTAATCTGCGTTTACAAGACAATCATGTTCATGCAGTAATTGCCAAAAGAAGAAAAATTGTCTGCGTGGCATAGTCGTCCAGATAATTGAAAAAAAAAAACAATTATAGATATGGATATTTTAAAATTCAGTTAATTTACACCTCTATTATTTATTATTTCTCTGATTCTCAGACCTCCTTTTATGTTGGCTCACA